GGCGCGACGATCTATGCAGCAGCACATAGGTCAGCGTTGATGGCGGTCAAGTTCGTTCGTGTGCGACGATCTATGCAACGGCGCCTAGGTTGGCGAATATATAAGGCTGCTGTGCCAACGCCCTACCACCACGAACGACCTCGGTCCCCGCGCAGTGTGAACCATGGACAAGGTACAGCGCGATGTCAGTTTATGGCTGTTCTATTATACTCACCCTTCTTAGGATCTTCAACTCGCAATCGCCCAAGCTGAGATGGAAGTCGCCGAGAAGCGACTCGCGCTCTTGTTAGCCCAGGTACGTCGAGCTGTCATGCGGACGTCGTTTGTACCGACAAGAGATGACTTTGACGGTAACAGGGAGGCTTGCCAGCACAAAGTGTAGCTCAGGTCAACGGCGCGCCGGCGTCGGGCGATGCGGAGGTGAGTCGGCTCAACCTCTGCGGCTGACGGTCCTATTCGCCGAATCACAGTGGCTGATTCCACAGGGTGAACTCGGCAACATTGAGGACGGCATGCAAGGCAGCGAGCCTGGCGAAGCTATAACGCGCGAAAGTCAGGATGACGCGCACGCCACGGAAGTTCCGCAAAGTACGCGGAACCCCAGCATAGCTGAGGAGGTGAGGCGCCGAGTGCATTCTAAAGGTTCAAATGTAAACTGATCTGCACGGTGTTGAGGATGCGAACCCCCTGCCGCCTGTGACCATAATCCAAGACGAACCGACACATGTGCTCAACGACGCTACAGGCGGTGCGGAGACGGACGAGAGCGCCGACGATGCGCGCAGCGCTGCCGCGCTAGATGAAAACGACGAGGTGGAAAGTCTGGTCCGGGACGACGACACCGACGTCGATGCCGACGTCACCTCGGTAACGGTGAAAACCGAAACCGACAAAGCGGAGACAAGCGCGGCGCCGACGAATAACGACATGGAAGATGGAATGTCGGTGGGAGCATTCATGGACCGGGTCTTTCGTTGGGGCGGCCTGGTATGGTCAGACTCGTCGACTAGGAAGGGTGTGAACGCCGAGGCGGCGACGCAGATGGCTACGGAGCTGGTGGGCTTCGAAGTTGTGACATTTGACCAGGTACGGTCCCTATGTCTCTTGCATACCGCGCAACTAACGAGCGTACAGGTTGGCCAGCGCGCGCCTCTTGATATCAAGTCCGCCCGCCAATGGGCTTCAAAGTCGCGACTGGCGGCGAAGGTATATACGTCAGTGCCGGAAGCGAACTACACAATGCTCGTCGCGCAGGCCTGGCGCGGCATCCGGCAGCTTCCATATCAGGAAGCGCTCAAGATGAACGGACGATACGGGCTCATTGGCGTCATCCGCGCAATTTATCAGGCGAACACAATAGATCCAGATGCGTGTGAGGATTTCCGGGCGATGATGTTGGACGCTGCGGAAGCCCTGCGGGCCATGCGCGCGACCGTCATGGCTGCGCGCGACGCCCAACTGATGACCGCACCGGCGCCGATTACATCAACATCGAGCACACTTCTTGACGTGCTGATCCAGCGCGATGCCGACCAGGCGGTCAGGGCTACGGAGGCGATCAAGCGCCTGGTGAGCGGTGATATCATCGAGATAGACGACGAAGAAGAAGAGCGGGCGTCGGTCCCGAGGAAGGGCGGCAGCGGCGGTGAAGGCGGCAAGCCGACAAGGGTCCCTGCGAAGCGCAAGCCGACAAGCACGCCGGTACCCTCGCCCAGGCAGAAGAAGAATAGGTCGTGAGGCATCGCGTAGAGCTTGAGCGTTGACGCCGTATAGAACGGTATCCTCGTAATTGTTGTAGCACTCAATGTACAGTACATCTTGTAACGGATATCTTCTTCCACTCAGTTCAGAATGAACGCGTCTGACGTCCGTGAACAACTCCGAGCAAGCTGGCGTACACTACGTGTAGAGCTACAATGCACAGGAGTGGCCCAGGAGGTAACGCATAGGTAGGTAGGTAGGTAGCATATACTCAATGTATGGCATCTCAAGGCCGCCGCAAACAAGCGCGCCTGGAGTCTTAGCGTCGCAGGTGCAGGATTCTCCCTATAGCTGGTACGATATCTGACAGCATATCCTCGCAAGACTAAGGAGAATAACAGTGCTATCTACAGCCCAGAGTACGTATTAGAGTACTGTACGAGACTTAGTCTGGCATTGGAAAGTGCGCAGAAAAAGTAAGAAAAGAGTACACGCAAGAACGGGGTTCGAACACGCAACACTTCAAACAGACACTTATCCTTTTACCGTCAGGCTAAGCAGCCATAGTGGTAAGTTTACTAGAATAGTCTATATACTACAGCCAGATCTGAATCTGAGCGCGCAAAGCGGCACGCGTATCTGGTTCCTCCCATCATCATTCCTTCTGCGGCAGTCGTCATCCCTGGAAACTGCAAGGCGCATTAGCATTTCAGCTCACATTCACGGCGAAGGGCGAGATGGACGAATGGCCAAAGGCAGGCTCTAGCTACGATCGCGCTCAATCGCAGGGTTGGTGCAACCGTGGTCTCTGCGAGGAGTCGTGCCCTGCTCCCCGGTGCGTGATGCACAGAATCAATATTTCAACACGGACTAACGAATACGATAGGCTTTCGCTACTTTGAGAAGATCGCCCAGCATCAAGATAGCGTTCCGGCGAGTATCTCGACCTCAGCCGAAGTTTACGACAGATGCGGACGTACGTGCTTGCATCATAATACAGTGCTCATTGAAGCCAATTACTTGTAGGCATCGGAGTTTTAGCGTCTGTGGTAGGCCTAATACCCCGCGTACGGGGCAGCGGCAAGAAGCGCTGCATGCGAGCGCAGCGCTGAATGTGCATTGGCGGCGAGATACTTGGGAGATGGAGACCTCCGCGCGGATGCCGACTCCAAATACTCAGAAGAACGTAGGACTCAAATGTCCTATGTCGAGCATACGACCGCTACTGCGGCGGTGCGTGACTTCGCGGCTCGAGTGGCCAAGTTGCAATTCAATATTGGCCAAACATCATTTGTGTGATATGAAGGGATCCCGGTCTCCCTTCGGGTCGACTTTTCTTTCACACATTTCTGCTTGCAAGCCTGTCCAGTGTATCTTGATAGATGAAGCGCGTTGGATGGAAGTGCGTCTCTGCGCGGCGGCAACGGTTTGGGTCGTCACTATTCTGCTAGGTAGTGGGTGCCCCCCTATACGCTCTGGCGCAATCTGTCACGATCCTTGCAATTGCTTTGCCTCGCGGCGCCATGTATGCATTGCCAGTTACTCAGGCGCACATCATAAATTGAAAAGTCCGGCGCAGTGGTGGTCTCCCGGAGCGGTTTGTGGCTGACGTCGTCTTGGTCGTATCAGGCGCTTCAAACGCCGGACTCCGTATTCTCGCACTGTGCTCCGAACTTTGCAACCATCCCTCCCTGGGAAAGCCATTAAGCCCCCATGTGCATCCATCACAGTTCGTCTGATGCTATACATCAGCTACGCTTTCTCGTCGACTCGCGATTCATTGTTCTCCGCGTATCACTTCGTGCACTATACATTGAGCACATGCCCGAGATTTCGCAACATCTGCCGACCCGACAATAGCTGCTTAGTATCCATCCTCGCGATACAACAAAGGCCATCCCTTTGCGTATTTACTCACGGCTCGGAGGAGCCCCTCCAATAGCAGAACTCTTGTCCTCTCCTGGCATCGTCTCAGTCTCAGAGCAAATGGTCAGTACCATCCACTCTTAGTAGATATGTTCACTGATAATGATAAAGGCTCTGTCGACATCGTCCATTTACTAGGTGTGTTTCGTCGACGGATCGTACGAGGACGCCGTCAGTGTCATTGATTCTTCACGCGTCACGCGACGTAGTGCATCATCGCATCATCGCATCATCGATCATTGATCATTTTCCGAATCTGGGCGTCCTTGTCATAGGAAAATATCATGATTGCACCGCGGCGAAACCAATTGAAGCGCCCGATGGATCCAAACACGTTGAGCGCTGAGCAAACCATGCAGCTCGACGCCACGTTGCATGATCTATCCCTCCGAGTACACTGCGCAGTCTGCGCTCTTCACGATTCTTGCACAATCGCGTGGTTCTGCCCGCGAGTCCAATGCTTGCGGAGAAGTGCGTTGGAGACGCCATATGGAGTAAAGCTGGGCGGGGTGTATAGTATGAAACATGGCCAGAGACCATACTGAATACAGTATGATATAGACTTACAAACCGCCACTGATAGCCGCTGAGTAGGGCTACCTGCGAACATCAACGTCTAGTAAGCGTCGCTTCATAGCGAGCGGTATAGTTTTCAGGTGGACTTGCTATAGGGACGGCGTACGGTGTGTCCGCGCGCTAGCCGCAAATGCGCTCTGCGAACACGTCGAATACTGACTATAGCCCAGTAGGAAAGAATGTGCCTTCTTGGGTGGATCCGCGCTCTCCCACGCGCCGCGAGGGAGCTGACTCCAGGGCTCATATTTCATGTACAGCCGGCCACGATCGCGACCCGTTACATCCACTGCATTTGGTACTTCTCCTTCCTCAAAACGCCTTGCTTATAAGGATGCTCGCACCGTACCGTCATGCCGGCTATTACATTACAGCCCGCGGGCCCATATCCTCCTGTGGAGAATGGATTGGGGACCAGGACCATCACCAATACCAAGGAGAAGCTGTACCCGCGTCTACCAATACCTGGCCGGCCTCAGACACTCTCGTTCTCAACGCTCAGAACTACGCTTCTGCACGGAGCACTCGCAGCCAAGTCGAGTCCTCGTACACCCCCCACTTCCTCAATCGCAAGGTTGCCGTCTTTAGTTCTGAACTTGTGTTGTCGAATAACCGAGAGCTGGCGCCAGCATATCATGAACAAGACTATGATCCAATGTCCGCCTACAGGTTGGTAGTCGGCCCGACGTCGCAGAATATTGGGCCAGTCGCGACTTCATTGCCACCGGCGCCCGAATGCAGCGAACAGTATGTTCAGCCCATCATCCACGCATCAGAATCCGCCACGCGCGCTCGGCCGTATCCGTCGCTGCCTTCTCCATCGGCGCTGGTGCCATCGCGGTCTCGGGTTCAAGACCGCGGACACTTCCTAGACTGGAGGTCGGGACCAGACTCCGCACTGGGCTCGCAGACATTGAGCAACGCCACTTCGCCGGGTTTCAACGCGTTATATCCGATACCCACTACGGTCGCTCTTGCCTGTACCCCGGAAGATACTCAAGGCTACAAAGGGCTCTCATATAGCTTCAAGCTACCAGAGTCCGCTACCGGTGCGGTGTTTCCGAGCGACCGCCTCGCGCTCAGTACCGATGTGGGCGTCGAACGAGGCTATGCGCACGATGGCCGACGCAGGCGCAAGGTGGACAAGATGCACTCGTGCGAAGTGTGCGGAAAAGCGTTTCCGCGTCCATCTGCTGTGAAGACCCATATGAACTCGCATTCAGGTGCAAGGCGTGCGTAGGCTTTACCGTGTCTCGATGTTCGAACACCTTTTGACCATAGATGGTGTATACAGCATTCTTGTGTCCTATAGCCGATTGCGACAAGAGGTACACAGTGCGCTCGAATGCAAAGCGTCATCTACGTACCCACGGAATCACCCAGGAGCAGCATTGCTCAACCGTGGACACAGACGGAGTCACCTTCGCCAACCCAATCGTGATTGAAGACACTGCTTTAGCTCATACTGGCGGTTGCAAGATGCGCATCCGCTGGCACAGGTCGAAAGACGGGCCGATCTCCGGCTAGGTTGTGCGGCCAGGAGAGCGCAGATCAACCCGCGCCTGTGCCTCGCCTTGAGATTTCAGTATGTCACGACTCACTCATGTATACCACAATAACACGGCGTTGACTGAGTGAAGCAGAGCGAGACCGGCATTTTGATCCAATGTACGGGCACCCGAGCGTAGTCCTGTCACTCTCATCATGTGCCCGGCACCCTAAACTTTCTGTGGTAGTACACATCGGAGTGTGAGTACTCGAGCGTGTGGTGGTTTCAAATGAGGAACGTGTATGCTATTGATGCTAAACGGTGGCGGTGATACCGATAGAGACAACCGTAAGGCTGACGGAGGCGTCCGTGAATTCACAGACCACAGCGCAACTGTGCTAGGAATACTGCTACACTAGGTTGAAGTAACACTTGCATCCGAGTCGATATGCTGCACTTCGGGACATACTCCGTGCTTAGTGACTGGCGAAGACATGCATGTTGCCTAGGGAAGTGCTCGGCTAGATCACATTCATTGAATCAAGGGTCGCCGAGCCATCTAGACAAGTTGTCGTCCTTTCAGTGAGACATCTACATCAAGAAGGCGGTTTTTATCACATGGCAAACGGGCTAGCTGTAGGGCGTTGAGCGAAGGCCGCAGCTTCAAGTATATATCAAGCTAACGGTGAGGTGAGCGAAGGTGGCGGAAGGGCGGAAGGAGCGTGAACGTGACGAGCGACGCTGCGCAGCTGCGTGCGGGCTTGCCTTATGCCTTAGGAATAACATTGAAGCCTGTGCGTACATAGTACTACACGGCATTGGGCTTCTCTGCCGGGAACAAATGAATTAATCCTCTCAGTGCTTCCAGAACACATGGAAAGCACGGCCACGATGCATTAGGCGTCACGTCATCACGATGCCTCGATGGCCATGAAAATGCCTCGTTCGGCGTTGCGATTAGGGCTGAATATTCTGTCATGCTGATATTGACATGACCCAATAGCTTTACAGGTGCATTGGAACGGATGTGCTTAAGTACAAACACACAACGCAGTGCAACGAGCCTGAGGCAGGTCGAGTGGACGTTATGTCGGGCAATGGGTCAACGAGGAACAGAGAATGAGTACGGAAGGTGGAGCGGGGATTAATCCTGAGCGTTCGTTCAGATGGAAGGGATGGCGGACAATTCGACGTGGTGGGCGAGAAGTTGGAGACCTGTGTGGGCTGGGTCGTAGAGGCGACGACGGGCGACTTTTGGGTTTCATAGCAGACGGTCGCATAATTTATACGGTGGACTTGCACATGGCATCCCAACATGCGCCAAATGAGTGTCCAACACACATTGCGAGCGGAGGTAGACGAGTCGGCGGGAGACAGGGTTGGTTATTGCGACGTACATCAGCCTCTACTCCCTCGCGTTCGTTGGTGTGTCTTTAGTCGCCGAAAGCGCGCTGGACAAGTACAGGGCGCGCATACCATCCTGACTCATCCGAATGGTGAGTTGTCGATGAAGCTCACAGATGGTCCACCAGAGAATGCACATACGGGGGTATCTGTCAGCCACACGAGAGTGAGCCAGCCGAACGAAATAAGAAAGGCGCTGAGCCACACGACGTACCAGTACACCATCTATCCTCAAGAGTAGTCGCTCTTGGTCCAGCGTCGATGGGGAAAGTGCTGTCATACGCGAGAGCGCATGCGCACAAGCTGAAGCAGTTGCATCCAATGCACACTGTACGCACGGCACCAGGTGCGCTCAATCCCCTTCGCAGACTCGGACGTGTCGCCACACCGCCTAAGAGGAGTCACAGTAGGTACTGTGAGCTCTGGTTGCACTTGGAAACGAGCGTGCCGAGCCTGGCGCCGAGCGTGCGCTTCAGTTCATGGACGCGGTGCATTGCGATGAGGGACGACATTATTGATGATGCTATCGTCATATGTACATATTCCAGAGAAAGGGAGGTCGCGTAGGGTGTACTTCAGGCGGTGTGATTGCATGATGGTATGAGAGCGGAGGTGGTGACGGTTCAGGTCATAAGCCGTTGACCCGTTTTCTGACCTTGTCTTGGTGCCGCCATGTAGATCCCGCGCCCGTGCTCATGCGAATGATAACACTCGCTTTGCCTCGCCGTTTGAACGCTACTTCGTTTTGCTCACTTCGCCGCTGCTGAGCAAGCGCTGCCTCATCAAGACCTAGGAGGAACGTATTCGTGTCTGGCTGGCCTCCCCATCTCATCTCTCTACATATCCTTCCTCGTGCCCAAAGGCATCTACGGAATATGCAGTCCTCACACCAGAAGACCAGTTATTGTATCGCCATCCGCAAACGATACACCTGCGATAAATATGCCGTCTTATGGCATTGACATGGATGCTATCGACTATACGTCACAGTGTCATTGCACGTTCGTTACCAAGATGGGATGTCCGATCATCCCGTTGACTCTGCCTCTCGGAGCTTAGCGCTCTTCTTCCTGCAATCGGTGTCATTCACAGTCCTCCGTTCGCCAAACCAGCGAAACGCACCATTTACGGGCCGACTTCTTACGCCCTATTCCAGCTACAGGCTCACTAACCGCTGCTGCCTTCTTTAGTCCCTCTCGGATGCCGGCTTGATGGGCCAGGATATGGAGGACTTGTACAACGTCACCTGCCAAAGAGGACCATTGTGTACGTTCTTCGTCGCCCTTGATATTCCATGCCCAATTGAGGGTTGTGATGATGAGCAGGCGCACCCCATCCAAACCCGGCGCGAGAGCTCCCCTCCAGTCCATATTCGAATTGGCCCGAAGAACTATGCGTGCGTGATCGTCTCGACGTTCGATCGGTTGCAACAACGCCCATTGTTGAGGCAGTGTTCTGTCGATGTCAGCATCTAACTTCGCAGGCGTCCTTGAATCACTATCGCCAGCCCTGCCGTTCCATCTAGACGTGAAGCCTCGCTCTTGGAGACTCGCCATGTATCTCGGTCGCTCGACAAGTTCGGACCCGTTAGACACCTTCAAGGGTTTCATGGTCAAAGGCATCTCATCCTACTGGTGCATTAGTGCCGGTTACAGCAACGTCGCAATGGACTCACCAGTGCGCAGTCTCCGAACTTCAGATATGCAATACTCAGTTCGCAGGCGAGACCGATGTCTACCCGGTCCGCCAGCTTGACCGGTACTGCCCTGAGAAAATTCACGGTATTGGACTCCTCCAACCATGGCTTATGGGGCAAAATCTTTGCGATCGTTGCGCGGAACATCCGAGAATATTCAACCTCATGAACAGTCATTGTCATGATAACATCAGTGAGGCATCCGAACATACCTTGTTCATATATTGATCACCCCTTTTCGAGATCTCGAATGCAAACGACCCCGCCATTGATAAACTATCTGTAGGGAGTACTATGTCGCCTCCTGAATGGAACTGTCAAGATTCGGTTGTCAATGAAGCCACCTCTCGCATGCAGCGCTCGACGGCTTACCGGGATATGATTGTGATTGCTCTCGCCGCGCGAATGGTGGTTGTCGGCCCCGGCGGCGGTTCGCACCGGGAGTATTCCGCTCGTGTCCGAAGCTGCATCGTTCGGATATAGGTGGAGCGGCCTACTGAGGTCGACGGGGTGCTGAACGCGTGACATTTCGATGTCCGAGACACCCGCCAATGGTCGGAACAGGAACTCAACGCTGGCCGTCTCCCCCGCGCTGTCGTCGATCATGGAGTCAAGACTTTCGTCGCTGCTGCTTCCCTCTTCTTCACTTCCACCACCTTCCTCTTCGCCACTGCCGCTGCCTTCTTCGCCACCGCTGCTCCCGAGGACATCCTTGCTCGCAGCATGGTCTCCTTTGTAGTCGTCACTCTGGACTGTGTCACTTATACAGCCGATGTTACCAACACTGCGATCGTCTTCGTTGCGATTTTGATCAAGCATGGTGGCAGCTTTGCCCCACTTTATCTCTATGTTGACGTGTCAGACCTGACAGGAAACGTTCGAAGGAGGATATGAGAGCTTGTACCGTTCATAATCTGTGCCTGTTTCGTCACCGCGTACTTGAAATCTTCGCAGCCTCCAGGGTTAGCCTCCGAGTAAAGCAGCTTTGGCTGACCGAGTACGTTGCAGACACCCTCGGAACTGGGATCTCTGTTAGTGGGACACATGACGGTGATGCAGCTACGACTGACACTAGGCTTGACCCGCCAGGACCGCTCAGGAACATAATGGCTACGCCAGATGCGCGATTGGCGAAGAAATGCATTAAGTCGCTCAAGAATAGTTGCGACGACTTCATGAACCTGTAGCGTCGTCATCAGTAAGTCATCTGACACATTGACGTTTCAACTCACTCAATCGCTTCGTCAGGAGACTCGGGGTTTGTAGCTGCACTCGCCTCCCATTTCTTCATATCCTGTCGATGGATCCGTTTGCCTTGCTTTCTGGCCGCCTTCTTCTCCTTCTTGCTCGCGTTCTTGTATTGCTCGGCGGCCACGACGTTCCATATCGCCACGCGCGGGGTTGGTGACGTACCCGAGCCGGCCTGTATCGCGGCAGCATGATGAGCGTCCACTTCTCTTTCGAGTTCAGGACGTTCTTTCGACTTCGCCCAGACTTTGTAAAGTTGTTTTCTGCGGGGCTTGCGTGCAAAAATCTTGATGAGGTCCACGATCTCAGCCGAAGGCTTCCCCGCTACTGCCGCTTCTGAAGCGAGCGTCTCCCGCCACACTTTCAGCACTTCCTACTCCGACCATGAGTGTTTTACAATAGCCTTTGTCGGAGTACACACGCACGCCGTGAACCTTTCGGAATAGCGTATCTCTGCGCTTCTGCTCCTGTTCGTCAAGTGGACCCTCCCTGGTAGCTTCCGCCGTGGTCGTGGTGCGTAAAGGATCTTCCCACCCGTACTGCTGTATGATTTTTCTGGAAGTTTTGTCAGCTGCCTTTGAGATGTCGCTTTGGGGTGCGTTATTGGACTTGAGGCTCTTGTATACGCTCAAGTCCTCTAACATTGTGCGCTTTTGAGAAGCACCTGCGTTGGGCGGGCGGCCACGCCCGCGTTTCGTGGCATCTGGCGAGGGCGCACGATCTATGACTCTTCCGTGTACCGGCATGAATACAGAGTGCACCACAACAGGCTCAGAGGACTTGTCGGGGGAGGAGGATCAAGGATGACTGAACTAGTTCACCCAGGGTGTATACTAACTAAATCAGTCCCTAAGGGTACCCGCTCGGCACTTCGGGGATATGGCCCGCCGCCACTTTAACACAATCAACGCCGGCACTGCATGTCTCTGATGTTGCTTAGGATATCTGGCGTCAGGTTGTGGTGGAGACATGCAGCTGTGCCATCGGCAAACTAACCTGTACGGCATCATCCGGGCTTTTGAACGAAGCTAGTCGTCGCGTCTAAGTGCATGCGCCGAGCAGATAGGCCTCGGTTGTGCATTGAGAAGAGGCCTCGGCTCGCAGACCGATCGAGTGCTTCTGTCCCACTGTTTCAGCGTTATGGGCTGGCCTTCACGCTTCAAGGCGAGTGACGACAGCATCACCCACTTACTGTCGAGCCTCTTGAGAGGCCGCGAAGCCTCTCGCATACCAAACCGGTTCATCCAATGTTCCTGCGGCCGAAGCTGGGCCGAAGATCGTGATCGTGTTTGTGCGACACGCAGGCATTTCGGGCGCATCACGGAAGCCGGTCACAAAGACCATTTGGGGAACTGGAACGTGCACGACCCAACTTAGAGTCCTGGTCTCTCAGAGATGCCGTATAACATCCGGTCTGCTCGAGTACGGCTTTTTTTTCGTCTCACGCACACTGCGCCCGATAAAACCTCTGATCATGTCATTATATCTCACGTTTGGGCGCGGTCAATTGTCACTTCGCTGATAGGAAATTGACATACCACCGGTTGCCGAATCTCTTTTCAAGGCAATGAAACCCTAGGCTAGCGCTCAAGCCACATGCGATACCCCACCCTACTATGTCTCCCTCCAAGGCTACCCTTCGCACCAACCTTCTAAGATCCATTGAGGAAGACCATCGTCGAGAGCTCAAGTTGCACGCTGGACATATCGACAAGGAATTAGTGGACTATCGACGTCGTCGCTGCCGAAGCCTCGGCCACTACCTTCGAAAAGAGATACAATCCTTTTCCAATACCCCTGATGATGGGCGTTGGTTCGTCGAGGTGCGCTTTGAACCATACATCAGCGGCAGACCGGCATGTTCAACGGTCAAAAAGTGTCTTCTTTCCCATCCAGATGACGTCTCCAGCAACGGTAGCGTGCATATGTACGTTTCCAAGCGTCTCGAACCCGAGGTTCTACAGGAGTTGCGAGACCGGACGCTCGCACGCCGCCTACAAGCTCAGCAACTCATAGACTCGGGTCCCAACTCAGAACTTAGTGCTCGAGTGAGTGCTACACTAGCCGACTGCGATGTTGCGTTCAGAATACTCAAGCCAACCTACTCAGCCGCCACAGAGCACATCTGGAGATGTAGTCACACGCAGGACCGCGCGAGAATCACGGGTATCAAGCTCTCCAATACGGCCGTATCCGATTCGTTCTGGCTCGACAGCCCGCATTGGCTCCCGCCGCCGTCTCGTTGAAACCCCAAAGCAGTTGTTCCCTTCGACCAAGCGAACTTCTCGAACACCGTGCATAGAGATACTGGACTCAGACTCCGACACAGATATCCGATGCATGATGCTCAACAGAGCTCGCAGCCCAAGTTTGGAGGTCCTAGACACGCCGGTACTGACCGAGCCAAGTCTCACTGTGTGGCTCTTCCGAGAGGTGAGCGGGCACCATGGCGCATCCTCCGCCAAACCCTACCGACCAAATTTAACTAAAAAACTATCAGCCGGATACCCCACCACAGTCTATTCGCCTCAAAGCGCAACCCGGTATCGCCGACGTGATCTTTCGCGACCACGATAGCGAATGGGAGAGGATTGGGATGAAGATATCCGAGCGGGTCAAAG